GAAGGGAGGTTGTGGTGAAGAGGGGTTTGGCCTCTTCTCCCAGGCAACAAACAGGACCCGGAGAAATGGCCACAAGTTGTATCAGAGGAGGTTTAGGTTAGACATGAGGAAAAACTTCTCTCAGAGAGTGGTCAGGCACTGGAATGGCCTGCCAAGGGAGGTGGTGGAGTCGCCACCCCTGGCAGTGCTCAAGAAGCGTCTGGATGAGGAGCTGCGAGATATGGTTTAGTAGCTTGTAGCAGCGGTAATGAGAAGACAGTTGGACTAGATGATCTTATAGGTCATTTCCAACCTTGTGATTCTGTGATAATGCAGACACCCTTTCACAGTTAAAAATCTAGAGAGCAAGTATTGGGGAAACAGGTTGATTTCCTGTTCTACACCAGAGTTGAATGAACAAGATTAAGTGGCTCAAAAGGAGATACTGAGGTTTCCAGTATTAAAATAAGGGCACGCTCCCCAGAGCAGAGTAGAAGAATACAATAGTTAGTCTGACATTTTTGTTGTGCTCAGAAAGTGTTTACATACCAACCTGGAGTAAACCTAAGTAGCAGTGAGTATCATTGTCCACAAAAACCTCTCTGCCTCTGCAGCCACTTAACATTAAGAACACTTTTTACTATAGAGCATTGCTGGAGGAAGTTAGGTTTATTATTGGAGAAGGAATACCTTCAGCTGTTCACGCTTTCTGCTTTTACTTATCAAAAATAATTTAAAAAAAAAAAAAGCAACAACAACAAAAAACAAGATAAAACTAGATACTATTTTTTTCAGTTCTACTGTGTAAAGCATAGCAGGGATGAGGACTGCCATTAAGGACCCAAGTACACAGAGTAGTACAAGTATTAGAAAACCAGCACAGGACAATATCCTGCTTGGAAAGATTTTTTTGGGCTCACAGTGCTGCATATTGGGTAGACATTAAGGCCTGAGTAGTCTCATACATGAGCTGAACAGGTGATGCAAAGTTCTTATGCCTCATCAGGCTCTTACAGTGCATTTAAGCAGCACCCTGAAGAACAACCCAATTCTTGGTAGCGATGCGAGCTCTTTTATGATTAATCTGAAAAATAACAGTTCAGGGAAGAGAACAAAACTATGTGCCAAGCACTGTCATGCTTCTACAGTATCACAAATTATTTTCCAATAACTAGGCTAAAAAGAAGGAAAAGTGAAAGGTCATATTGTCCTTTAATGTCTGAGGTAACAAAAGCCTGGTTGGGAAGACTGATACCAAAAGGTTGCCTGGATATGTAAAGAAGTTATCAAAGTAAATAATAACTCAGTTCCTTAGAACTTTAAGAAAGCCTATTTCTAAAAAGTTGAGACAAATGAATTTACATTCCTTTTCTTTTGCAATTTGCAAGAAACATGTTTTTTTTTTTTTTTTCATTTACACAGTAGGAGATTAACAGGGAATTGAGCTGCTGCTAGAGAATCATGAACCTACTTAGTTTCTCTAGGAGATACAAATCTATTGTTTTTCATGATGTGTTTCTGCCCATGAAGACTCCCAGATTCAAAGAAACATGTTTAAGTAATTTTATTGAGTTTAAAAATACATAGCCTTGAGACATATTAAGTAAACTATACAAGAGATACATTAGTAATAGATGAGAGAACTGTACCCCTACAAATACCTCCCAGAATTATGAACTACTCATACTACTGAAATATGCAGGTGCCAGTGGTACATTTTGATTAAGACTTTACATTCTGGTTGAAAAAATCCAACCAAATTAAAAAAACAACAAAAAACAATCTAAGCAGTAATTATATTCTATTTAAAAGCCACAACTCAGAATACAAAGGAAGGTCGTTCTGACCTTGATTCTTTAACCCATTACTATTGGGTTATTAGTCCTTTGAAATTGTGTTTACTAAGTCAACTGACTACTCCACATGCAATGAGGCTGCAGATACTAATAGACACGGGAACAGTCAGTTACAGAAGTAGGGACAAACAAGTATCAGGAAGCCAAGAAAGACTGTAGTTCCTAAATAAGCAATTATTTTAAAGGAACGTGATTGTTTTGGATTTCCCATAGCTTTGCTTAACTAGGAGAGTATTGCTTTAGATAATAAATACATTAGAAAGATCACAAAAAAAAAAAAAGATTTCTAAGAAGTAATTGAGATTTGAAAGGAATAGGCTGTTATAGGAAAAAAAGTAAGAGTTTGTAAAGGTGAGAGAGAACAAAAGAAGAAAGAAGTAGTGCTACCTGCTTGTCAGCAAGCTTTTATAGTTGTGAAAGTAAGCTTTCAGCATATAACAAAGGAGCAGAAAGAAATTTAAATACCACCATCATTATAGTATCTGGAAAAACAAAACAAAACAAAAACTCAGACCAGAGCCAGAAAATTCACATACTTCATCAAGGAAAACAGAATTTTATGTATGCTTTGCAAAAAGAGCCAAAAATTAAAACACAATTTGGTTTTATTTGCAGTTTGCGTTCAGAGAGTTAAAATTAAACTTAAATTTTGATTTGTACCCAAGGGATCTGTGTTGCATTCAAATACTTCAATTAGAGAATTGAGCAGTGATTTTAATTAGCTATCAGCCACTAAACATTTTTGAAGACAGTGGAGTTCCTTTGTTGTGTACTTGAATCAGTGACATTTATCACTGACCTGTATTCAAAATTAAACTACCCAGGGCTACTTTTTAAGGAATACGAAAGGTATATAACAGAGTAGACAAGCAGATATTGCCTCTGCTTACAATGTGGCATTGAACAAGACAAATACATGTTCAAGAGATGGGGATACATTTTCTTTAATGTATTTGGACTGGAACTCCCCATATGCCAACTTTACCTTCCTAAGAAAGAAAAATCCAGTAAGGTCTGCTTTACTGATCTAGTAGAAGAACACAGATGTTTTAGACTGTTTCAATGCACACAAGACTAGTTACACCTTCAATTAATTAGCTGTACTGTCAGAATTCACATTTTCATACCTAAAGCTCATTTAATAAACATACTTAAGAAGTGCAGTAAGTTTTCCTCTGGTACTGTAAGCATTTAAAGGCAGAACTTTGTTTTCAAACTGTCTTTCATTTTCTAAATTTACAAGATTACGGCATAACTACTGCTGATCTTTCTAAAGAGACTTTGCTAAAAGAAAAATAACAAAAATCTTACACACCAGAAGGGTCTCTGGGCAGTTTCGTAGATAACAGACAGGAGACTGGAAGACATTTACATTTGTTCTTGCTGATAAACTGAAGGCCTATGGAAGGACATGTACTGTCATGACTCATGTTAAATACATATAAATATTAAAGAATGCACAAACTATACTGACACTTGTGGTTCCATCTTTAAGTCCACTGTTAACTAAAGGCTGAATGTTTTCTGAATGTTCCTGGAGAGCAGAGGTGCTTATTTATAAAAAGAAATAATGTTGTTCCACAATTGCCTTGACACGGACATTGTAATTCTGTAGAAATATTTTGGCAGTAGAAGAGTAAGCAAAGCTTTTGTTTTTTCAGTTACAAATATTTTAATCCTTTACTATATTTGTGTCAGTAAAACAAGAAGTTCATTATCATTTCATTAAAACCAAGTTGCTGATAAAAACAGGAAGTAACCAGCCTTTTAGGAGACACCACAATGGAGCTTCAGAAGCACAAAATTTTCATCTTCAGCTTTTTGGTAATTATACACTTTCAGCCTTCTTTTTATAACTGTCTAGAATTCCGGTCAAGGTTGACAGCAGATCTTCAGACATTAATTCTTCATAGTCTCTGTCAATTTTTGAATTCTGTTCTTCAAGATATTTCTAGAAGAGTTACAGAAAGCTTATTAGAGCTGTTGTGGTCCATATTGTACTGTTTCTGCTAAAGCATCCATAGCAGCGATTGCATGGGTTATGTGATTTCTGTTAAACACTTATCTGAATGTAAACAGCAGATGAAGGAATTTACTAGTAATATTTAATCATCTGATTACTTATACCAAATGTTTTGTCAGCAAACATAGTAGAAACCAACAAACTCAGTACAGCAGCCATAATCATGGAACACCTTAGTTTGGAAGGAACCTTAAAGATCACAATCACTGCCTTGAGCTACACACTGGATTGGGTTGTCCAGGGCACCATCCAGTCTGGCCTTGAATGCTTCCAGGGATGGGTGTGATGGTGCACTTCTTGTCCCCCAACCAGCCTGGTTGTTACGCCCAAGGCCATACTATGAGGTGCAGAAGACCTTGTCCTTGGGACTAATAACAATCGAGGTTTTTACCAGAGACAATTAACCACCACCATACTGTCTCAAACTGAACGCTCAGACACCTGGTCAGTAGAACCAATTCTAAGTTGCATGACTATAATTCAGTCATCTTACCCCATAAACATAAAGCAGCCCGATAACCTTCACAGCCCTCCTGTAGACCTGCTCCAACAGCTCCACATCTTTATTGTGCTGGGGCCCCAGGCCTGGATGAAGTACTCCCTCACA